AGCTGACACCCCTACCGACAACTTGGCCTGCGCGGGATCCACCCGAACGACAAGCACCCATGGTACCTCGAGCGCCCAAGAAACATCGACGAGTACCTTTGCCGTCCACCGTCCCCTGAGCCCGCCTCACGGCGAGGAGCTGACTCGTTTTTACCCCGACGTCCGACATCCCTTGTTTGTATGTAACGCCGAGAAAGCCTCTCTCCCATGTGGTGCCATACAAATTAAGCGCGGTAGTCCCTGGAGGTGGAGTTGCCGCAGACCCATGACGTAAAGAGCCTCCACGAATGCCGGAGACCTCTCACTCGACCGACGACATTCTTCAAAGCGACGATTTCGCAACGGTGTCCAACAACCTCGAAGTTGTTATCAACGGTCCCGATGACTCGGCACTCGCGGACACCGGTGGGGACTATTCCTTATGTAGTGGGAAGCTCTCTCGCCGCCTTCGGAAAGTAATTATGCCCTGGGACGGCCCGCAAATACGCACCACCGGAGGACACCTCATAACGCCCGTTGGTAGGTATATTGCTGGCATCATCATTCATGGGAACACATTTCCAGTCAATTTCGTCGTGCTTCAAGGCTCTGCGAGAGACGTCATACTTGGCATGAACTTCCGGTGTGAATACGGTGCCGTGTTAGAACTTGAAGCGAACTGGTTGACGCAGCGAAAGCTCGTCCTACCCCCAGAGGGATCTGAAATAATGCCAGCCGCCGTCCGAGTCATTGGAGACCACAAGAACATGCTGGCGTGGTTGAGTGTGCATGTGCCCGTTGTGACCGGTGCCGTCGCCTGCCGCGAAGGTTTTCTGGACGGCAACGTCCAACTGCTTCTCGGAAGAGGAAGAGTCGTCGCAAGGGGCTTAACAGAGCTGCAAGATGGACACACTGTAGTCCTCGTGAAAAAAAAAAGTGAAAGCCGTTTACAACTCCCTGTAACGCCGAATTGGAGCGCATCTCTTGAGGAGGAGGAGTGAAGGGTACTGAGGGGAGGGTAAACCCCTCCTCCTTCTCCTCCTCCTCCCCTCATTCTTTAATATGCTCCGGGGGGGGGGGGGGTCACGTGACCTCGGGGGGTTGTCACGTGACTTCGGGGAGGGGGGATCACGTGACCTCGGGGAGGCGTGACCTGGGGGGTCACGTGACCTTGGGGTGACCTTGGGGTGTCACGTGGGTGTCACCTTGGGGAGGGGACCACGTGACCTCGGGGGTCACGTGACCTTGGGGTGACCTTGGGATGACCTTGGTTACGCCGACGGCGACGGCGACGGCGATGCCGCTCAAGCCGGAAACGGGCGCCTAAGAGCTGCGCTCTAAAAAGAAATTGAACAGAATGTGCAGTACCTCACGAAAAATGCCACAGTAGGCCACGTTGAGGAACTCCGGAACGCCGTAGAAATCAGTGCGGTCTCCGATGAACCCTCGTCACCTCAGCCGTGCCGTACACTGCCGCCGCAGCTCGTCGTTAACCCCAAGCTCAGTGTCACGGAACGGCGACTCCTCAGAGACCTCCTCGCCGAATTCAGCGACTGTATTGCGAAAGGCCGCGAAAGTGCGCCAGACAACAGTGGCGAAACATCTCATCGTTACCAACGAGGATCCCCTCCTTGTGCATTGGCCACCGTACGGAGTCTCCCCAAAGGAAGAGGGGCCATTCATGAACAAGTACAAGAGATGCTCAACGACATCTTTCAGCCTTCAAGCAGCTCGTGGATCTCTCCAGTCGCACAACTGAGCATCAATACACACTCAAGGGTGTAAATGAATTGTCCTATTACTTAAACCATTACACCCTCTAAATTGGGTGTACCACCGCCAGAAAGGGTAGTAAAAAAAGACGCTATGACCAGCACTTGGTGTAATAACCCAAAATGGTCCACGGAATAGTGACTGCAATTGAGTTGAAACACACCTGGCTTACTTTTTTATTTTTCGATGAAGGTCCTACTAAATTCTCTATATATGATTTCAAGCGGGTTATCTGACCGCCTCCATGTATCTGCTCGTGCGGGCAAGGGCTTGCAATTACGAGCTTGCCAAAGGGCAAAGCTACGTTCACTCGCACGTAATAAGCTGTGAGAAGGCAAGACTGGACTAAATATTTCGCTTTTATCCTCGCCATTTAAAAACGACCAAGACGCTTCTGAATAAGACGCTTCTGAAACGCGCAGAATTTATGCTTTCTAGCTCCGGTGACCTAAGCAAACTCGACAGGCTTGCAAAGACGCGACGCCCGCGAGTCACTTGGGACGCAAGCGGCAGTTCAAGTTTGTAAGCAGTAAAACTGTCTATTAAGACGGTGGCAGGACTACTATAAGAATCATTCTCGCACAGTACTCACAAATAAAAGATTGATTTCATGCAATTTGTGTTATATGCATAATCCGATTCGGGTAACACTTAACAACGCAAAGACAATGTCGAGAATGAAGGCGGTCGCTTACAATTAACAGAAATCTTGCGGTCGCCGTCAAGGAGTTCATTGTCGCAACCCGTCCAACAATCATACACAATTATTTCATGGACTCCGAACATAAAAACGGCAATTACCACAAAGTTCGCCGGGATGTAATCCGCTTGTTCGTGACAAAAATCCACGGCCGTGAATGCAACGTACGAAAAGCAGGTGAACACTAAAGAGCGCTTTTCGAAAACCTTACCTACGTGGGCCCCTACACGTCACAATAACCTGTAAAACGGCGAAGGCTATGAACCCAGTGGGTCCGTCAGCGCGTCAGAGCGAGTCACGTGACAAATTTTCGTCCAAGCGTTTTGGTCCTACGGCGAGCGGTCACGTGTTTCGCTAGACAACTTTGATTCGCTAGAAGCGGCCTTCGCACTCGCTCACAGCCATACGAAGACACAAAATAACATACGGAGTCTTATCAGAAGACGAGGTGAAAGAGATGGACGATGCAGCTAACCTCCCCTGCTGCTTTGAATAGATCTCCTGCGCTGCCCAGGCTGCCATGCCAGAAGGGACTTATCAGAACTTGCTTTGGGTAGTACAAACTTGAGTGTCTCAAACTGACACATATGTAGAAGCGTGCCTGCTCTGATGCGGACGTCGATATCACAAAATAAACAAAAAACACACATTCGAATGCCGTCCAAGCACAGGTCAAAGCTAAGACGCTGAGAGCATGAGGCAAGAGACGATCCCTTTCAGGTGTTCCAAAAAAAAAAAAAGCCGAAAAAAGGAAAGTGTCGGGACGCTGGATTATTCGGTGTTACCACGCACAGAAAAGAAATGCGTACCCTAGCGAGGGTGTCAGGAATCCGGCACTTTTGAGTGTCTGGCGGCATTTTTTTTTTCACAACTACACAGAAAGATACAATCTCAGCGAAGGTGCTATAAATAATGCGAGTGCCCAGTCACGTGAGTTTGTACTGCCGAAATGTAAACATTGAGATTGGAAGAACAAATTTAATTAAATAACTTGTCCTATATCAAAACTTTACCCTATAGCCTTAAGCCCTGGAGCAGTCACACTCGCAGTTCAGTTACATGCACCCATTCCGAAGGTGTTCCTTGGCAAGAGCAGTTCTTAATTTTTATTTTGGGGTACATATTTTGAAGTACCTACTGTAATTTGTGTAAACTATACTTGTGACCAGTAGCATAGTTTGGTTTTGCTTCAACTCGCTTGGTGCCAATTTCAGAACTATGCACTCCTGCGAAAACGAGACATGATTCTTTCTTGGGACAAAACAACGGGACCGCAGAAGCGGACCTCAAAAACGGGACTGTCCCGGCCAAAAAAGCACGTATGGTCACCCATCGTGTATAATCGATGCGGTATGAACGTTAAAGATCCCCGCCTAGCGGTGCTACTGCACACGCTAAGTTTTATATGTACAGTGCTAACCGGTATCCCATCTCTAAGAGGCACCAACCTTATTTACGCAGTTCAAACACGAACGACAATTTTATTTCATTTTTGAATTTTCGGTATATCATGGCATTTTCCAATGTGTTAGCTCTTCCGCCTAATAGCGGGAGATCGAGAATTTTGAAAGGAGGCGCAATCTTTTTAAGTGAACCTTTAACCCACTTATTCAAGCATCGGATTGGCGCACAGACATGGTAATTATATTAAAACACACCATATGACCCACACTGCCCTTATCCTATAAACCATATAAGCGAACCGTATGACATTATACATTCATTCTTCTCGGTGACGAACGCAAAGGTCAGTATTATTTTTGGCCACGGCTTTCTATCGTACGTTTTCTGTAAAATTGTACTTAAAGGAGATTATTTTGATTCAATTTATTTAATTATTTGCGGATTATCGATATTATTGTTAAATAGATATGAAGCGCGCAAAAAAGTGTCATTTATAGTATTTATGGTCAACTACAAACTTTCCTCCATGATAAGAGGTTGCCGTGCTCACAGATTCACCCCATAGACATTGCATGCGAGAAAGTGCGAGTCACATCTCAAATATGATCCCCTACTGCCAGCTCTGTCCGAACCCTTCACACAGCTTCTCCGATAAAGACATTTCACATACATGAACGACGCATTTTTTTGCTTCGGAAATAGGCCTTGCTACCTTGTTGCCGAAATTATTTTTTCCGCTATCCCGTGGCCGTATTTATTTATATATAGTTTGTTTTTGCTGCATCAACGCAACAAGGTCACCCATGGAGTGAAGAAATGCATTGTCTTAATGTTTAAATTCCTAGTTGAATGCAGTTGCACCTCGCATACAAATAAGATACAAAAAAAAGTCGAATATGGCGGCTCTTAGTGACATTTTTATGATGATAACTGACAGTATTTTGTATGCCGAGTATATTTTGTTTTTATGTGCGTAATGCATGTACAAGACAAGGGAGTTTTTCTTTAACCACTTATAATTGTAAAGTCGGCTTATAAAAGTAAGTAATTATCAGTTGTTTTTTTGTTGTTTACGGGCCCTTAATATAGTTTAACGAGGTTTGAATCGCGTATGTGTAGAGATGTACGCATTGCAGCCCAGATCTCAAATAAACGTCGTTATTGTTGTCGTACATATCTTATAATATTGAACAATGTTTTGATATGACCTCACCACGCAGATCGATTCTCCGCCTTCTTTGGGTCCAGCGCATATCATGGTGTCCTCAAACACCGGGGTCTGGTCCTTGTGGTCATTCTTGCATTCCTTGTAAGGTACTGTTGGCAAATCCACTTTCTGAAGAACGTTGGAAAGAGTTCCTCCACCCTTAGATTCTGCGCCAAGAGAAAAAAAAAAAACACGTCAGGAAAGTGTGAATGCAAAGAACAGCTATGGTGCGTTCTCTGGGAATCTTAAAACTTTATTTTGTAAGAACGGGATCATCTTTACCAATTAACAGCACTCGGCGTCATTTCTCTGCCGACCAAATTCTTGTAAATATACAGGGTCTATGACTTCGTTTTTTAAAAAATAAAAATATTAAAAAAGATGGCGAGTGTTTGATTAGTGCCCTCCTCACATGTATTTACAATGCTCCGCGGAAATCAGATGAGAAGAGAATAGTCATGTTATGTGGACGAATAACTTAACTTTTAATTAACTATTTAATATTGGTTTGCAATATTGACGGCAATTACTATTATATCGGAGACCATGTAAATTCGTTGTAAAAATGAAATGTTGTTTCATACATTAAGTGGTCTATTTTCGGGTTTTTTTTGCGCCCAAATTACAAATTGTGCAGAAAGAGTGGTGGACCCCACCCTGCCCACAATGATGCTCAAAAAAGTGGCGGAGTCGTTTAGGTGGCTTCATCACCCCTATTTTCGGCGCACGCACCAAGGACACGCTGCCCAGATACTAATTACTTTATTGAAGAGACGGCGTCACTTTTCCGAGCATCATTGTGGCAGGGTTAGGACCCGCTCGTTTGGATCGCAATTCTTGAATCGGTCTAAGAAAGACAAAAAAAAATTATGAACTAAAAAAACATCTTGAAGAACCCTTATATTTACGCTTCCCTTAGATTGTTTTGACCTTGATATTAATTGTGATTGCTATCAATAATGCGTTTCAAACATAACCTCAAACCAATAACTAAAACGTCAAGCGACTAATTTTACTTATATGGTCTACTTAGCATGCATTATCTCCTGACCTAATGTCCGCTGGTCATAATAAATACATGGTAAATAGGGCACAGGTTTATCACTCACCCTCTTAAAAAGATTCCTACATAAAACAAAACGTCCCGTAGTGTGGAGAAGGAAAACCGGAAGAACATGCGCCGACTGCCCAAAGCGGTTATTTTTATTTTAGCGTTCACACGTTCTCAATTATTTAATGTTTACGAGATCTTAACATTTGATTAGATATTTTTCTTCAATCACAGCAAATAAGGTACTTTTATTAAGGTCTCAAGTCTTTTAATATTTTATTGTGCATCTGATTTCTTCACGAGTATAAAAAAAGACAGCATTCAGGGTAAAGTTGCTCGCAAGCGTTAATGAATAAATAGGAACAAAAAACTTGCCTGTCTTAAACATCTTCGTCAAACGCTAGGAAAAAGGGAGAGCCACTAATACGCCGCTCCCACCCCACTACAGAGGCGCCATTCCTACGCAGCGAAAGGGGAAGGTAAGAGAAATCTGTCACGGTATACACTTCATTATTTATACTCTGCGGGAATCTGATGCTCTTGAAGCCGATAATTATCGCGTAGTTAGAATGCGTGGACACACCTAACACGCAGCCTCGGGGTGTTACGCGTGTCCTGTCGTCTACCTGAAGCCATAGATCGTCGTAGGCAGTCTTCGAGAGAGCGGAAACTGCCGTCTCTGCTGCCTCGGCGAATCCCGCATCTCGGCGCGTCGGCGGCAGCGTTCTCCTTGGAAGCAGAACGAGTGCGCCACACAATAGGGAGCGGGATGCCCATGCGTTATCTCGGGTGCAACTTGTCCACGTGAATAAGGAAGGACTTGGTGCGGAATGCGTGCTGTGGAATGTAAATGAGGGGAGCAGAATGCATTCTCGTCGTAAAGTTCTCGGTCAGCGCACCATTACCCAACGCTCTCCCTCCCGCGTGGGGCAAGGGTATCGTTTGCGCGCTATGACGTCAAACGAGCACCTGCGCTTCGTTGTTGACACAGTCTCCCGTGGCCTTTCTACGGTGCGACCATACCAGCTTATCAAGCTAGGTTCGTACAAAATTCTTAGCTAAAGCTCAAAATCAAAAAGCACTTACTGTCTTTCAAATATCCCCATCCGCTGGCAGTGCAGGTCTGATTATCAAAAACTTGGTTCTTCTCAGGAAGGCAGATTGGCATCAACATCTTCTGAGCACCGCTGAGGTCCAGCGGGATTTTCAACCTCAGGATAGCGTAGTCGTAATTCAACGTGAATATGTCATATTTCCGATGTATAATATACTGCATTTTGAAGAAGAGGCACGAACAGTTTTTGTTTTAGTTTATTACCAGCAATGATTAAAAATAACTTTTATATGGGACTACTAAATATTGACGAGGCGGATTTAAAACAGCACAAATACTTGTTGAGCAAAGTGTTCTAAAACTACTTGGGACATTTATTATAAATGAAACTAACATGTCCTCGGCAAATGGTTCATACCCTGCATGGGTTGCACCAGACGTCATCACACATTACTGGTAATAATGCATGGTCTTACAGAAAAATAAAGCAGTGCGAAACGTACGCAACAGACTGTACGCGCTCTGCAGCGAGGCTGAAAAAATGGTTGCTCATGTGACGTCAGTGCAAGCCATGTGTATTGTAAGAAGACGCAGAAATAAGACGCACAATTACAGGATTTTGTTTATCATTTTATTCAGACCTGCTAACGCTTTGTCTTGTTTTAAAACTTATATAACAAAATGATTTAACTCGGTACTAATTTAGCTAAACAAAATTTTAGAAGCAAGCAACTGTTACATTACATATGGCATCATGCTATGTACCTTTTTCGCGCATAGTTCTCATAACTCGAACAATCAAAACTATTAAACAAATTTTTATATTTCCCAAACATGGCAAGACTGCGTTAACTAGCCATTTTCGCTGATAGCGTCGATTTTATTCATAGTTATATTCGGAATCGGTCATGCGATATGAGGAAGACCCGCTGAGATCAAATGAGTCACCAGAGGACCTGAACCATTCTCTGAATTAGGCTTGGACTGTACCGAGACGACACTTATGTACCGGTTTATTATATTAAAAATATATTTTGCATTTGAATTTCCGTATTATAATAACATCTTCCAACTTAATCTCGCGTTTCTACAACCACATATTTTCGATACTATCCGGCCCCGATGCATCTCGTTCTAATCTTCGAAAAATGTTCGCACTCTACACAAAAGGTTAAACCAACTCGTCTTTTAGAGACATAAAGGATGCTAGGAGGTGAACGCAGATGCTTTCTTACTTTGCAGAGTCAAGGCCGGCTCTAACCGGAATTTAAACCGTTCCCAGGTAGCACGCCAGAGGGATGTCCAACTTGGGCAAAGGTCTGGCAAACATAAGGGCCCAACTTTGGCGCAGTTAGGTTTTTGCACCATGGCATTCATCAGTGCCAAAGTACGGTGCCTGACTATAGCCTTAGTTGGGCGATCCTATAGCATGCCAAAGTTTGGCTCTTCTCCGGTACGCCAGAGGAGTGCCAAAGTTGGTGCCATACTTGAGCCATAACTGCCATAGTAAATCCTAATCTGGGAATTCGGGGCATGCCAAGGTTTGGCATCCCTCTGGTCTGCCAGAGGAGCGCCAAAGTTGGTGCCATACTTCAGCCATAGCTGCCAGAGCAACGCCTAATTTCGGTATTTGGGACGTGCCAAAGTTTGGCTTTTCTCGGGTCCGCCACAGGATTGCCGAAGTAGTGCAATACTAGAGCTATAACTGCCAGAGCAATGCCCAATTTGGGTATTTTGGGCATGCCAAAGTTTGGCGTTGCTCTGGTCCGCCAGAGGAGCGCTAAAGTTGGTGCCAGATTTTAGCTATAACTGCCATAGTAAAACCTAAACTGGGAATTCGGGGCATGCCAAGGTTTGGCGTTTCTCTGGTCCGCCAGAGGAGCGCCAAATTTGGTGCCATACTTCAGCCATAACTGCCAGAGCAACGCCTAATTTCGGTATTTGGGACGTGCCAAGGTTTGGCGTTTCTCTGGTCCGCCAGAGGAGCGCCAAAGTTGGTGCCATACTTCAGCCATAGCTGCGAGAGCAACGCCTCATTTCGGTATTTGGGACGTGCCAAGGTTTGGCGTTTCTCTGGTCCGCCAGAGGAGCGCCAAAGTTGATGCAATAATTCAGCCATAACTGCCAGAGCAACGCCTAATTTGGGTATTTCGGACACGCCAAAATTTGGCGTATCTATGATAGGCCATAGGAGTGCCGAAGTGTGCCATACTTGAGCCATAACTACCAAAGCAACGCCTAATTTCGGTATTTCAGCCTCGCCGAGTTTGGCTTTTCTCTGGTCCGCCACAGTTGTGCCAAAGTAAGTGCCAGACTTGAGCCATAACTGCCGCAGTAAATCTTAATTTGTCGATTCGGGGCATGCCGAAGTTTGGCTCTTTTCTGGCTACCCACTGAAGTGCCAAATAAGTGCCAAAAGTGGCAAAGAAAGCCGAGAGGCCAGCCCAAGTTTCGAATATCTCTGGTGTGTCACAGAAGTGCTCTTTTACGCGTCCCAGAAGAGAAATAAAATAAATAAGCGTTGGAAGCATGATAGTAAGATGTCATCACCTCCGTTCCCAAGCAGCCCGGCAATACTTTGCAGTATCGTGCCAGTGCCGGCCGAAAGTCGGTTCCAATATCGCTCAACTGTCCAGTTTTGCACCACCGTTTGATACCCGGCAGGTATTGCCGTACAGCTGTTTCGCCCCGGCCTAGCGTTCGCGTAATATTGTGCGAAAACTCTACGATGCGTCTGCTTCGTATTGGCCGAACGTCGTGCAAGTATATGTACGTTGCATGTCATTTGTTGCATATCCAATCACTTATACGGACAAACAATTTTTTTCGATCGCTCCCAGAAGTTTATTAAACAACTATCATTACACATGGTGTATTCTCAACATATTTACAAAGGTCACACTTCTCTGTAAAACGAAAAGCAAATGATAAAATACAATTAACACTGTCCTCATGCCAAGCAAAACTCATCACACGTAAAACCGCGGAGAATCAAAGGAAAGCAGGACGACTATCAGAATCATGCTTGCAGTGCACTTACTAATAAAAGAGCAATATCATGTAATCCTTGATAGATGCATAATCCAACTCAGGCACCCCACAAACACATTCGAGGAAGAAGGTTGCGCACATTCTACTGACGTCTCGTCGTCGGCGAAGAGCACTTTTTGTCGAAGCGTGTCCAACAAACACATCACAAGTATTCCACGAACTCCGGCGCAAAAAATGACTGTTACCGAAAAATTGGCATGGACGTATTCCGACCGTTTACGACGAAAAAACACGGCCGCGTCTGCAACGCACGAAAGCAACAGAACACTGAAGAGCCCAGTTCGAAAACCGGACCTACGTGGCCTCAAACGGCGAAAACGACAGCCCCAGAGATCCCATCAGCGTGACAGAGAAAGTCACGTGACAAATTTTCGTCCAAAGGTTTTTTTCCTACGCGTCCTATGTAGAGAGGTCACGCTGAGTCACGCGTTTCGCTTCATCCTTTTGATTTGCTTAAAGCGGTTGTCGCGCTCGCTGACAGCCACACGAAGACGCAAAAGCAGGTGGGGAGGATTTGCAAAAGGCGAAGTCGAAGGTGCATCCACAACGCATAAAAGGAAAGGCCGCTTCTGCCGGTGACCTTGTCGCCTTGCCTAGTCTGTCAGCCTCAGAAAGATAATCTCCTTTCTTGAGAGCGAAATGGACGGGGTGGTTATGTTTTCCGGGCTTGTCGCCATCCGATAGGCCTCAATTATTTCTCTCCCCATTTGCTCGCAGTGGCCTCCCATTGCTGTCGTGCCGGTGAAATTAGGAGCGCAAAAATACTCCAGAAGCCGGGCGAAGACGTGATAAATGTAATAACAAAAACGGCTTGACATAACAAAAATAACAATTTAATTAAACGTTTCGCCTCCCATGCGGGAGACATCTTCAGTAGAGCGCACAGCGAGTGAGAGTCGCACAAAAACGTTCGGTTATTTAAGTATAAAGTTTGTGTACACGTCCAGCAGGGGGCCACGGTTCTTGTTTACCAGCGATGAATCACTTCCGCGTTTGTCGTTCTGGATGAACCAAGATTCCAGCAGCTTCCTCGGTTCCCACCTTTTATCCCCCTCCAAGGTCGATGCCTTGTCAATGTCAAATCGGTGTCCTGACGTCCATGCGTGGTCGATGAGTTCGGACTTGAAGCGGGTGGCGATCCCGTGCGTGTTCTTTTAGTCTTGTTTTTCTTTTTCGTCCCGTCGCTCCAATGTAGGAAGCGTCACATTCCTTGCACTGTACCTGGTAGATCACGACCCTTTCTGCCTCTGGCGGGGTCGGGTCTTTTGACTTTGAGATAACATTGCCGATTGTTCTGTAGGGTTTGTATACAGTTCGTACTCCCAACGGCCTAAGGCCGCGTCCCAATGACTCCGAAACCCTTAACGTAACGTGTTCGTTCGGTTCGATCCAGGCGCCGATGGGACATTTGTTTGTTGGTCAACAAGAACGCATTGCTCTTAATGAGTTAAAGTCAGACAGCTCCATCATGATTTTAAAGGCCGACAAAGGAAAAAGAACCGTTGTGCTTGATAGGGATGACTGCATGAAGAAGATGTATGAAGTTATAAACGACAGTCACTATTTCGTGAGGCTATCAAGAGATCCCGCTGCTAAGTCCGAAAGAGAGTTAGTTGACCACCTTCGAGAGCTGAAAAAGAAAGGACGCATCAGTGACGACCTATACCGTCGTCTCTTCTCCTTTGACGCCGCGACACCCAAGATGTATGGACTCCCCAAAATTCACAAACCGGGTTGCCCCCTACGCCCGATTGTATCTTTTATTAGTTCATCCACTTACAGCCTTTCCAAATATCTGGTTATGATTCTGAGCCCTCTTACAAGAAAAAATGAGTTTAGCGTCCGGAATTGCTTAGAGACCCTTGCTCGTTCTTATCCAAATGATCTCATAGTTCTCTCCGGTGACTTTAACTACCCCGAAATAAAATGGCCGGTTGTTCCAAATGTCATATCTTTTGATGCATGGTATAAACTTTCAAAGCAAAGTCGGGATTTTGTTGATGTGATAAACGCCTTCTTTCTTTTTCAAATGGTTGACAAGCCAACTCGTAACTCTGCTTTCTTGGATCTTTTTTTCATTTCGGAGCCAGATTTTATAGCTTCGGTAAACTTTATGGAACCGCTCAGTGATCACACTTCCCTAAATGTTGAACTTGCTCTTCCTACGCAAA